GTACTGCCCATAACACATCTAAAAACATGTACTGCCCATAACAACACCTAAAAACATGTACTGCCAATAACAACATCCAAAAACATGTACTGCCCATAACATCTAAACTTATACTACCCAGCAATATCAAATACTAAAACAGAAGGGTTAAGTTTAATAACAGGAAACATTACAGACCTTCCAAAATCATTTTGAAGCCTTTGATAGTTTCAGCAAGTGGTACAAACTTTCCTGCTTGCCCAGTGAATACCTCGGCTACTTGGAAAGGCTGCGACAAGAAACGCTGAATTTTTCTTGCACGTGAAACGGTCAGTTTGTCTTCTTCAGACAGTTCGTCCATTCCAAGGATGGCAATGATGTCCTGCAGGGATTTGTAGTCCTAGAATCGAAAGCTTCAGATTATTTAATGAACATTTAATTATAACAATGTACTTATTCTTAAAAAAAAAAAAGGTTAAAACTACAAATATTTACAACTAGCACCTTAAATGATTGTAAATGATCATAGTTATAAGAAAAGTAGCAGAATATCCCCATCTTAAAGGGGGTTGACCTTTACGAAAACAATAATTGTATAATATACACCTGTAAAATCTTCTGTACACCACGGGCCACGTCATAGTGCTCTTTACCAACGATGTTGGGGTCCATAATACGGGAGGTCGAGTCTAGTGGGTCAACAGCAGGGTAGATGCCCAACTCTGCGATACCACGAGACAGCACGGTGGTAGCGTCCAAGTGAGCGAATGTCGTGGCAGGGGCAGGATCAGTTAAGTCATCAGCGGGCACGTAGATAGCCTGGAGAAACAATAAAACAATGAATACATCCTATAGTACAATACAACAATGAATATATGCTATAATACAATACAACAATGAATATATGCTATAATACAATACAACAATGAATACATCCTATAATACAATACAACAATGAATACATCCTATAGTACAATACAACAATGAATACATCCTATAGTACAATACAACAATGAATACATGCTATAATACAATACAACAATGAATATATGCTAT